CCCAAAATCCTTGTGCAGCTACTTCAGTAATATTTTGAATAGTAATGGTGAGAGTGGAAATCCTAGTACTGTATCAGATTTTAGTGGGGAAGTATTCATCTTTCCACCATTATGAGTTATACTAGCTATAGGTTCATTGCCTTTTAAGATGTTAAGGTAAGTTCCATGTATATCCTCATTGCTTTTCAATTTTCATCATCAACAGATGTTTGATCTTAGCAAATGGTATCTCAGAATCTATTGATATGATCAAGTTTTTTTTTAAGTTTACTTTTTTAATGTGGCAATTTAGATTGATTGATTTTCAGATGTTGAGCCATCCTTGTGTTCGTAATATTAATGCCACTTGGTCATCATGTCTGATCATTTCATTGTATTTTTTCGATTCAGTTTGCTAGGATTTTCTTCAGGAATTTTACATCTGCTTTAATAATGGATATTGCTCTGTGATTTTCCTTTTTCCTGTCTTTCTTTGCTCTTATTATCTCAATATTTTGAAGTAGTTTGAGCAGGATAGGTATTATAACTCTCTGAAGTATTGTTAGACTTCACGTGTGAAGCCATGTGGTTTTGGATTTTGGGGGGGGGAAAGAATTTTGATTACTCTTTCAATTGCCTTGTTTGTAATTGGTTTGTTTAAGATTTTCTATTTCTTTCCTTTTTAGTCTTGGATGATTGTATAAACCTGAGAATTTTACCATCTATATATCTATATAAGGGTATTGAATTTGTTAGCATATAAATGTTCATATTAATTTTTAATTATCTTCTGAATATCTACAGCATCTTTTAGGATTTATCATCTTTCTTTTTTGATATTATTTATTTGAGATTTCTCATTTATTTTCATGGTGAGCCTTGCTAGAGGTTTGCAGATTTTGTTTATTTTCTTAAACAACCAGCTTTAGATTTTGTTGATCCTTTGAAATGACTTTTTAATTTCTATTCCATTGCGTTTATTATTGCTTTGATATTCATTATTTCAGTTCTTTTACTGTCTTTAGATTTCATATGCTCTTGTTTTTCTAATTCCTCAAGTTGACCAAGAAACTTGTTTACTTGATCTCTTTCTTGTTTCTTGATGTGGGCCTGTATTGCTATACACTTTCATCTTAATACTGCATTTGCTATGTCTCATAAATGTTGTAAGATTAAGTGATCCTTTCTATTTATCTCAAGATATTTTAATTAATTTATCTTTTGAATTCTTCATTAGCTCAATTGCCTTTAAGTAGTGTGTTTTTCAGCTTTTGTGTATTAAATGATTTTCCTGATTACTTTTGATAGTTGATTTGCAGTTTGATACTTTTACGGTCTAAGAAGATGCTGGGTATGATTTAAGTTTCCATGTAAGTATTGACACTTGGTACATTCTAGAGTATATCCCATTTGTGTGTTCTTCTTTTGGGAGGTGCATTTTCCTGTATATGTCTATGAAGTCAAAGAAGTCCAATTATCTAAGCATTTTTTTTTCTGTGTTTATTTTCTGTCTAGTTGATTTGTCTATTGGTCAAAGTGGCAGTTGAAACTTCATATCACACATTTGTTTTATCCAATATTTGTTTTAATAATTGATTGTAGTTGTCTAATGTATTTTGGTGCACCTTCATTTAGTATATATTCAATAATAGCTGTTAGGACTTTTTGATATGTTATTACATTTATCATAATATAGTATCTTCAATGTCCATTGTCAGATTTTTAACTGGAAATCTATTTTGACTAACATAAGTATAGTAGTCCTTTCATGACTTATTGTTCTACTTTTTTACATGATTATTTTTTCCAAACCTTTTTTCTAAGGCTGTATTTGTTTTTGGATTTAGTTGTGTCTTCTGGAGACAGTAGAAGTTAGAATTCTGTTTCCTGATCCAGCTGGGTATACGGTATCATTTTTTTCTGTGTATTTATTATTTTACACTTAATAGATTATTTTATATCATATTGTGCATATTTCCATTCAGTTGCAGTCCCCATGGGCTTCCTATCACAAATCACCCATGTGCATTCACCATAGTCTAGTGCATTACCCTCCCCCCCCATGGTTTTTGATCCCATTCCAAACTCCACCCCCACAAAATATCTCTGGTATATAGCTGCTCATCATTATCATTATATTCTCTCTTGTTTGGTTATATTCCTGCCATGAAAGAAACCATCCAGTAATTTTCCTTTTCTTTCTGGCTTATCTCACTAAGCATTTTCTTTTTCAGTTCCATCCATGTTGCTGCAAAAATACATGGTTTCTTCTTCTTCTTCTTCTTTGGTTGCTGAGTAATATTCTATTGTGTATATGTACCATATCTTTTTAATCCAGTCATCCATTTTGGGGCATTTGGGCCATTTTCATGCCTTTCCAATTGTGACTAAAGCAGCAATAAACATGGGGGTGCAGGTATCTTTTTCAATCACTGTTTTTGTGTCTTTTGGGTAGATACCTAGGAGTGGGATTGCTGGGTTATAGGGAAGCTCCATGTTTAGCAGTTTGAGGAACCTCCAAACAGTTTTCCATAGTGGTTGTACTAGTTTGCATTCCCACCAGCAGTGCAGGATAGT